GGCGGCTTGTTTTACAACGTCGTTGCCAAGCGACGAAAACCCAATCCCGATGGCAAACACCGGGAGGGGCGGCTTGTTTTACAACGTCGTTGCCAAGCGACGAAAACCCAACCCCGATGGTAAATACCGGGGAGGGGTTGCGGGGGGGGGTCTTTGGGCCGACGACGCGCACACAATTTCTCCACGGTTTGTGCTGAAACCCTTGTTGAGATTTTACAGGTGATTGTAACTGTATTGGAAGAAGTGAGCAGATCAAATTGAAGCACCGCGTTGTTTAGGTGTGTGTTGTCGTCTGCCACAGCTCAGTATTGGTCTTGTTGGCTGGCTGACTGATCCTGCTCTTTGTGTGATTCGATTTAGCCCAAGCGTTTGAGGTCAGGATCTCTTTGCCCATTTTTGTTGTTGCGCCTTCCTGTTTTTAACGTGTTGGAGGCCATCACAACGTTCTTTGTTCTCGTTTTGTGGCACAGCCACGTGCTTAAACAGAGGTTTACGGGGCTTTGCCTCGAGCGCCTGTGAGCTCTCTTTCTGGGCTTGCGTCTTAGCTCAAAATGTAGGAAATGATGCGCGAGGACTTGTTTGCCTGCCGGATCAAGCATATAAGGCAACGACGAAATTCACGCCCCGACAGATAAGACAGACAGGCAGGATACATCTCTTTCGGATAAGCCATCCATAATGACTGCGAGTGGATAGGATCTAGTACGCTGTCGGAGCAGTCAAGCAGTTGGTTGGCAAGTTGTTGGGCGGCGGGAGCTGCATGCCAACACGGCGATCCCGGTGACAATCCATAAAGGAGGTGGAAGAGATGGATGGTTGCACGTGTCTTTCGAAGACACACCCAAAGGCGTGGTACTGTACTACTTGCAGTGACCATAGAGTTGGTCCCCACCTTCATTCTCGAAAGGGCTCGCGCAGAGTAGAGGTCTTCCATCATATCTACCACTACTTGGTAGAGTTCGGGTTCCGGCCGGCGATGCTAATCGAGAGTGCGTGCAAAGAGCTATGGTGACAGGCCCTTGTACGGTTGCCTTCATTTGAAGGAGCCCACTTCTTTCTGTGCCACGCGTGTTCTAAAACCCATGCGGCAAACGACGAACCGTCCATTGACCACAGACGTTCGTGCGCAACACCCCACTAACCAGTCTCGAAAAACGGCAAATAATTTTTTCACCTTCATACCCGCGGCTTTTCAGCAGAAAATACGAGTAACAGCTTGCTTTTTCCAGTCTCTTCTAAAATTGTGATTTTCTTGTTAGCTGGGTTGCATTGCTCCATTTAGGCGACAACCCACTCAGCCGGTTACCGCCATCTACAGTCTAAGCATAGCAAGGCACGCGTCTTTTGATGAGAGTCAGGTTGCCATGGGCAGCAGGGAGTCCACGAAAGCTTCTCTCCCAATGAGGCGCTTATGCTCTTGAGTGCTCAAGGGTGATCAACGTCACCTCGATGTAAGCATGCAGTCTAGTAGGCACGACGTCGACCAAGTCTCCTAGCATTGGAGTCGTCAAGTTTGCCAGTTCACGTGGTGTGCATGGTCACATCGTACGGTATGTGCAGGTTAACGCCAACAGCGGGATGATCTGTGCAGGTGCCGTACAAGGTACAACAAGTGCACGCTGCCCTCGCCACAACTCGTCCCCCCGGTCGACAGGACCACGCCTGGCTCTACTTGTGTAGCATCGACCAGCAACAACGCCAGATGTGACACACACGTGAATGTCGGCGTTGAACATGCGCTTCTTCACTGAGCTGAGTTTGCCTTCCTTCCTGCCCCTTCCTTTCCTTTCGACCTGCGGGCGTTTGCTCCTCTCGCTCTTGCTACGATATTATAGACGTCGAAGTTGGCGGAATCGGATGCTGGAAAACCCCTGTTGGCGTGTTTACAGACCCCCGTCGTCATGGTGTGACTTTTCGTGCGGTGCGGTGTGTATGTCGGCTATTAATAGTCGTCTTTGGCGTACAACGGCCGTGTTTCTCAGAGAACGCAAAGAACTCCGACGCCCGAGTCAATTCGTCAAAACAACCCATGCCTTGCGCGAATCCATATTATGGTACAAGTCGACCCACTACGTCAGTGACAGTGAAACGGCCTTGCCGGTAACAAGTTCGAACAAAGGATCAGGTCGGAATAATGTCTTTCCGCCATTCCGCCCGTGAAGTCACAAAAAGACACTCCATGTTCGTACCAAAAAGGAGTGCTAGCGTACCAAAAAGGAGTGCCGAACTTTACTCCGGTTTTCGAAACACGCACATGTACCCAGGGGCAGCTTCTCCTCTCTGCACCATGGTTGAGTGTCGTTTCAACACCACAATCTCATAGCCACCAAGCCGTGCTAACCGCTCCAAGTAACTTCGGGAGTACGCGTACGTGCCGTCTGTCTTCAACGAGTAGCCCTCCTCGGGGTCATCTTCGTCGTCACCCTGGGTGCAATCCGGGACGCCGGGGTGCACAGGCGACAGAAGAGAAAATAACAAGACATTGAGCTACAATGGTCCGTGCTGGCCAACATGTCAAAGCTGTAAAGACTAGGATTCCAAGACATCCCTTCGAACGGGGTATTATCTGTAACGGGGTATTCCTATCTTGAGCAGCGGGTAGTCTTTCTTTGAGGTTGTGTATATTTCCGAAAAAATAGTGATCGTGTAGGAGAACATGTCCCCTGCCGGCGGACCCTAGTTCCCCACACACTGTCGTGGAGGAAATGGGCTCAATCCAAATTATAGCGAGAAACGTTTGAAAGGGAGAAGCTTGAATAGTCCTCGAATCGCGTTGGGGAGATGTGGCCCGAATGCAAGGGTCCCCTCCACACACTCGCACTTCCAATGATAGCTGCTTTCACGAAGACCGACATAGTACAATAGTGCACATAATATGCACAAGGTGACATCGCCACTACCCGGAAACAGTCAGTGTTTAGTGCACCTTTCCCTGCAAACCACGGTGTGTACACAAGGAACCCACCGCCGGCAGTAATTTCGTCAATCTTCATCTTTCCTCACGCAAGTACCATCGAACAATCCAGGTGCGGTTGTCATGAATCCACGAAGCCCTCAAACTACTGCCGTGCCACGTCTCCCCCCCTCACCCGACCCACCCGCTCGTCTCTTCCCTCTTGTTCCTCTTGTTCCTCCCCGTCGTTCGTGGTTCGTCTATCCACAGTGAACGAAAAGTACCCTCCTGGCTTCAAGACCTTGGAGGCATCGGCCACCACAGTTTCCAGTGGGCCGAGGTACTGCAGCGTCTCAGCTGCCACAACGAGGTCGAACTGCTGTTCCTCTGACGCGGCGAGATATGCCCTCAGGTCCTGACAAATGAGCGACGAATGATGGTGGAACGGAGGGGAGTTTGATCGGAGTCATGCTGGGACAATGATCATGCACTCTGCTGGTTGATTTGCCAATCGCAATCTCAAAAACGGACAGGTTTGCACGCACGATGAAGGCCTTTACTTTCTATGGCCGATCATGACCGAGACCTGTACTTATGCTGCCGGAGGAGTGTGATGATAGATACGCACTATTCTCGGAGGACAACATATATGGATATGACAACATAGTGCGTCGAGTCTCGTACGTAAAGTTTAAGATGTGAAGCCCTCCCTCGACCTTCAACTCAAGGTAGACAAACAACTCTTCGTTCGCATCGCGTCAGATACATACACTTCTCGAAGTGCATAGAACGGCAACTTCCCTATCGCCCTTCACTAACAAGAGGGTAAGTGTTCTATTATCTACGAAGTATTAACGGTACGATTCGATGAATAGTACGATTCTAATACTACTGTAGCATGATGCAGCATACATGGTGTGGGACAAATGTCGAGCATTTCAACTGAGAAGACGAAGGTGAACCACCTCCCGGCAAAACCCACTTGAGAAGAGAGGAGATGGGGAAGAATCAGACGAAATAGAGGAACACACTGGATACACCCCGTAACCATCGGAGACGGAACAACCATACCTGGAGGAAACACTATCACCAGTTGGAAAAAAACAAGCACCAGGGATGAGAGAACGTGTTCCCAGAGGTTTGAAAATCTCCTCCTCACCCCTCTTCTCAGCTCGTGGTAGCACCCCTTCTTGGTGGCCATGTCCAGCATAGTCGGCGAAATGTCCACCCCGACCAGCTTCCTGGCGTAGTCCTTGAACCAGCTGCCGATGAGGCCCGTGCCACAGCCGAGGTCGAGGATGTCGAGAGATCCGTTGAGGTACGATAGCACATCACCGTTATGAGCGGACTGGATCTCATCGGGGAAAGACTGGAAGGTGGCGTTGTACACCTCTTTCATGTTCTGAGGAGCCAAGAGCAATAGCGCAAAAGGGACGGAAGGGACGGGAACAGCGAAATTTGCATGGCGACGTCAGGCTGGAGTAATGGGGGAGAAAAGGTGCTGTATTGTAAGAAAACAATGCTGGGTCCTGTTGGGGGTGGCAAGAGGAGTAGCTATGACGAATCCCATACGCATAGGGGGAGATGTGGA